GTGGCGGGGTTGCAGCAAAGAGCGGCGGGGCAGTAGTGAAGGGCGGCGGGGCCGCAGTGAAGGGTTGCGGGGCCACAGCGAAGGGCGGCAGGGCCGCACCGAAGGGCGGCGGGGCCGCAGCGAAGGGCGGCGGGGCCGCAGCGAAGGGTGGCGGGGCCGCAGCGAAGGGCGGCGGGGCTGCAGCGAAGGGCGGCGGGGCCGGGACAGGGCGGCACTGGGGTCGTAGGGCTAAGCAACGGGGCCGCTAGGGCGACGGGGCCGCTAGGGCGGCTGGACGAGATGAGAGAAAGGAGCGCGAGTCGGGCTGAGCGCGCTCCGGGCAGGAAAAAAAAGTTTCGACTTGGTGGGCCCTAGGCACAATTCCAACTAGGGAACCTGCTCGATACCATGAGAAAACTGCAACGAGAATGGAATGACTATGTGAAAGTTGGGTACAAATACAACCCTAGAAAGTTGTACCCCATATGTGCTACCCCACTGTAGCCTACAACAGCTATGTCATACAAATCTGACATCCTACACCATACCAGACCGGATTCACCATGTCGCGCAACACGTAGGTCTGAACGCTGCAACGTCGCCCTGTCTAAACAAGGATGTTGACAATGCATCACCGCTAGTGCGTTGGGCCTGTGCTTCATACCACTCCTTCTAAGCACCTTGTTGAATGTCCGTGCAAGAATGGAGCCCAATCCAACACCATACCAGACCGGATTCACCATGTCGCGCAACACGTAGGTCTGGACGCTACAACGTCACCCTGTCTAAACAAGGCTGTCGATAACGCATCACCGCTAGTGCGTTGGGCCGTTGCTTCTTACAATCCCTTCTAAGCACCTTGTTGAATGGCCGTGCAAGAATGGAGCCCTATCCAAGACTATACCACACAAGATTCACCATGTCGCGCAACACGTAGGTCTGGACGCTGCAACGTCGCCCTGTCTAAACAAGGATGTCAATAACGCATCACAGCTAGTGCGTTGGGCCTATGCTTCTTACCATCCCTTGTAAGCACCTTGTTGAATGTCCGCTGAAGAATGGAGCCCAATCCCACACCATACCACAAGGGATTCACCAGGTCGCGCAACACGTAGGCTTGAACGCTGCAACGTCGCCCTGTCTAAACAAGGTTGTCGATAACGCATCACCGCTTGTGCGTTGGGCCTGTGGTTCATACCACTCCTTCTAAGCACCTTGTTAAATGTCCGTGCACGAATGGAGCCCAATCCAACACCATACCACACCGGATTCACCAGGTCGCGGAACACGTAGGTCTGAATGCTACAACGTCGCCCTGTCTAAACAAGGCTGTCGATAACGCATCACCGCTAGTGCGTTGGGCCTGTAATGTCTGTGCAAGAATGGAGCCCAATCCAACACCATACCACAACGGATTCACCGTGTCGCGCAACACATAGGCCTGAACGCTGCAACGTCGCACTATCTAAACAAGGCTGTCGATAACGCATCACCGCTAGTGCGCTGGGCCTGTGGTTCATACCACTCCTTCTAAGCACTTTGTTGAATGTCCGTGCAAGAATAGAGCCCAATCCAACACCATACCACAACGGATTTACCGTGTCAAGCAACACATTGGCCTGAACGCTACAACGTCGCCCTGTCTAAACAAAGCTGTCGATAACGCATCACTTCTTGTGCGTTGGGCGTGTGCTTGATACCACTACCTTTACGCATCTTGTTAAAGGACCATGCAAAAATGGGTGAAAACCCATGACCATACCACAGCTGTTACTCGTTTGGCACTGTTGATCGTCGTGTTAGAATCTCGTCCACTCCCGCGTAACCGTTGTGGCATAGCCTAAAGTTGTTAGTACAATTGCCAAAAGTAATACTTCTGGACGCTCTTTGTGTGTGGGACATGAGACAAACCCACTGCCTTACCAGAACCCCATACTAAACCATTAGCAACATAGTTTTTTATTAATGCATTGGTTGTATTTTGAATTTTATTTAGCTCCTATGTGCAACATTGTGCGATCGCGACAACACTGTACTTTGCAAAGATTTGGTTACACTCGCACTATTGGTTCCAAAACCGTTCTACCATGTATAGTGATCGATGCACTAGCAACAGTGATTGGCCGGCGCATCTCAAACGATTCCCCTCGCAACAAAAGCACCAGCCAAGAGGTACTTCCACCATTGAGCGGCTGAGATCGAGCGGTATGTGTGTTTTTGCTCGGGTGGCTACACGTACACCGTCCGATATAGCCTGATAGGGTTACATTAATCTCCCTACGAAGCACAGAGCTACGGCCCATGACTTAGTATACTGGTGAGACACGGGCGATGTGGAAACGCCTGTGTCAAATAGCGAGCAGCGTCAAAGTATTGGCCATGAGGGTGACGAAAGCAGGTGGGTGGGGCACGAGGGTGGTTGGGGTGGTTGACCCGAACAAGTTCCTCATCGACGATGGCGACCTTGGAGAGGTCGTCCTTGCCCACCGGGCGCTTGCAAGCCTGGCAGTGCATAGACAACGCCAGTTAGACGTCGCCTGGCCAAGGTGACTTCATGTGTGGAATGTGGTGGGGTGTTGATGCTATTAGGTAACACAAATTGAGGTGAGAATGGGGGGGTAGGTGGTATTGCATGGGGCATTTTTGTGGTTGTGGCTCTCTCAAGACAACGCCCTGGCCAAGGTGAGTGCAGATGAAGGTGGGGTGGTGGTTGGCTGTGCTAAGTACATTACTGGCTGCAGTGGGGAATGAGGGACTGGTCGAGGTGAAGCCATATGACCAGACAGATGGAGGGAAGGGGGGTGAGGGGAACGGAACAAGTGTGTGTGTTATAGAACCTCGTTCCTATCACGTGAATCGACTTAAAGTGTGTGTTTTACTAATCATGGCTCTATCAACAAGAAGTAGTTTGTTTCGTGGGGGTAGTGCGTGCGTGAGGGTGAGCGCTGACATTGGTGGCGTGGCGGAAGAAATGCATAGCAATGAGGTGGAATTTGGAGTAGGGAGGGTGTGAGTGGGGAGTGTCGAGTCGACTCAACCCTAGCCATGGCCCTCACTCAACCTCTCCTCCCTCAGGCTTGAGGTAACATTAGATTTTGACTCCAAAATTGTTGACCCTCACTCATTAACCTTTCCTCCCTCCCTATCACGCCTTGAACCCCCTTTGTGCCGTCGCAGGCCTCCCTTTGTGCAGTCGCAGGCCTCCCTTTGTGCCATCGCAGGCCTCCCTCTGTGTCGTCGCAATGGGCAACGCTTGCACTGCCAGGGCAGCATCAGTCTAACCAGTTGGTACTGCCGCGTTTGCACTGCTAGGGCAGCATCAGTCTAACCAGTTGGTACTGCCGTGGTTAGAGTGGTGGTGGATTGAGTTCCGTTCTAACCAGAACTCAATCCACCCCATTCTGGCCCCACCATCTCACTCTCACCACCACTCTCCCACCACCATCTGATTCCCACCACCATCTCACTCCCACTGTCATCTCACTCCCACTGCCATCTCACTCCCACCACCATCTCACTCCCAATCTTTCCTCTAGGAAGCCACGCTGCAGGCAATACGTACTGCAGTCAAATGCATGCCACAAGGGAGAATTTTCAACAACCCAATCATGGCATGCAGCTTGGGTTGTGTGCCCCTTGACGAAGTGTAAAGGATCGTACCGTTACTGTCATCAACAAATTACGTAGATGTACTGTGCTAGCTAGGTTCGTTCATATGTGTTGTAGCGCCTGAAAAATTTGTTGCGATATTTGAAATCGGCAATTGACATTGTAGCGTTTGTAGAGATTTATTATTTTTATTTTAAGATTCTACATAGAACCTGGTTCATCACGTTATCTATAGGGTAGTGTAAACAGTTTCTGTAGGTGTGTAATATATTTCTGGAGGATTACTTTAGCGAGTGTGCTCCGAGGTGCTCGCGTCAGCTGGTTCGGCCTAAACGTTCGCCCCGAACCACTTATCCTCGCCATCGTACCTTTCGCGACGCTTCCGAACCTAGATACCCCAAGTTCCTCGCCTAGCTCGAGACTCACTGTATAATCTCGTTTTGAACATTCATTGGACATTAAGTAGCGCTCTTCAGCTTTTAAAATTTAGTGCATTTCAGTTCATTTGGGAAACGCTCCCACTCATAACGCTCCCACTCATAACAATTCACTTATTTTGTGTCAGGCCAAATTGTGTCTGTCCACCATTTGCGGGCTGCTGGCTAGGCTGGAGTCACAGGACAGGGGGACCCGTCAGTGGGGCACCAGATAGTGGCTCGATAAAGATCGCGTCGAAGCGTCAGACAGGGTGACGAGAGCGCAACGGACTGCGACAAAACCGTGACAGACAGGGCGACGAAAATTTGACAGACAGAACGACAGTAGACAACGAAACAGGGACAGACAGAGCTACACTAGATGACAAGAGCAAGCAGAACCGCTACATCAGAGGCGCGAGGAGCAGCGGCAATGGCGGATGGGGAAGCACGGGCGCGCAGGCGAGGCTTCCGGCGGCTGCAGTGGCGGAAACAGCACCGTCGCTGTGAGCACCATAGGCTGGAGCGGCGGCGCCGGCACTGGCGCGAAGAGGCGGTGGAAGCCCGCGCCGGTCGCGCTCCGCCTGGACCACTTCCTCGCCGTCGCCACCGACGCCGCCCCCGCCGCTACCGCTGCCATTCCTGCTGCACGCGCGCCTCTTCCGCCGCCTCCGCGAGAGCCCGCGGGAATCGGTCTAAGCGTGGATGGGCCCAGAAATGACGGGCGGCCGCGCGGAGGGGGAAGGGGAGGCGGAACGGGGAGGGGAGGGGAATAGGTGGATACTAGCGCGTTTGGTATGGGTTTGGCGGAAATGAAGCGAGGGGTGGGAGAACGGGGGGCAGGAGGGCGGAAGAGAGGAGAAGGCGCAGGCGGAGGGGTGGGGACTGGTGAGGACGGGCAGGAAAGGGGGAAAGACGGGGGAAAGGTGTGAGAGGGCATGCGCGAGAGAGGGTGCGTGGAGACGCGCTGTGGAGGGGTGGATGAAGGCAGCAAGTTTAGAGAGAATTGGTGTGAGGCGGGGGAAGGAGAGGCAGACACCGAATTAGAAGCGAGCGAGCCGCTTGAAACGCATGGTGGTGCTGGCGAGACAGGCGTGCGATTGAGGGCGGCAGTGCGAGCGCGTGGGAAGCACCGCGAGTGTGGGGGGAGGGGGAGATGTGGGAGAGGTTGATGGGGGAGGAGGAGAGGGGGGATGGGGAGACGGGGACCTCAGGGGTAACGACGCATGGGAACAGGGAGCTATGAGGCGGCGTATCCCCTGCATCCCCCTCTCTCTCCCCATCCCCCTCTCCCTCCCCATCCCCCTCTCCCTCCCCATCCCCCTCTCCCTCCCCATCCCCATCCCCCTCTCCCTCCCCACCCCCCTCTCCCTCCCCATTCCCCCCGCAACGACGCACAGGAGCAGGGAGCGATGAGGTGGTGCATGCTAGCGGGGTTGAAGGAGGTGGGGCAGGTGGGCAAGGCTGTAGGAGGTGGGCAAGGCTGTAGGAGATGGGCAAGGCTGTAGGCTGTTGGACATTTCCTTGTGTTTCCTCATGTCCGCCGCGTGTGGTGCTGGCGCCTAACGTGGAGGAGGTGCCTGCCTGGGGTAGGTGAGGGGAGGGAGATGAGGGGAGGGAGGTGAGGGGAGGGAGGTGAGGGGAGGGAGGTGAGGGGAGGGAGGTGAGGGGAGGGAGGTGAGGGGAGGGAGGTGAGGGGAGGGAGGTGAGGGGAGGGAGGTGCGGGGAGGGAGGTGACGGGAGGGAGGTGAGGGGAGGGAGGTGAGGGGAGGGGTAGGTGAGGGGAGGGAGGTGAGGGGAGGGAGGCGAGGGGAGGGAGGCGAGGGGAGGGAGGTGAGGGGAGGGAGGTGAGGGGAGGGGTAGGTGAGGGGAGGGAGGTGAGTGGAGGGGTAGGTGAGGGGAGGGAGGTGAGGGAAGGGATGTGAGGGGAGGGAGGTGAGGGGAGGGAGGTGAGGGGAGGGAGGTGAGGGGAGGGAGGTGAGGGGAGGGAGGTGAGTGGAGGGGTAGGTGAGGGGAGGGAGGTGAGGGAAGGGAGGTGAGGGGAGGGGCAGGTGAGGGGAGGGAGGTGACGGGAGGGAGGTGAGGGGAGGGAGGTGAGGGGAGGGGTAGGTGAGGGGAGGGAGGTGAGGGGAGGGAGGTGAGGGGAGGGAGGTGAGGGGAGGGAGGCGAGGGGAGGGAGGCGAGGGGAGGGAGGTGAGGGGAGGGAGGTGAGGGGAGGGGTAGGTGAGGGGAGGGAGGTGACGGGAGGGAGGTGAGGGGAGGGAGGTGAGGGGAGGGGTAGGTGAGGGGAGGGAGGTGAGGGGAGGGAGGTGAGGGGAGGGAGGTGAGGGGAGGGAGGCGAGGGGAGGGAGGCGAGGGGAGGGAGGTGAGGGGAGGGAGGTGAGGGGAGGGAGGTGAGGGGAGGGAGGTGAGGGGAGGGAGGTGAGGGGAGGGAGGTGAGGGAAGGGAGGTGAGGGGAGGGAGGTGAGGGGAGGGAGGTGAGGGGAGGGAGGTGCGGGGAGGGAGGTGAGGGGAGGGAGGTGAGGGGAGGGAGGTGAGGGGAGGAAGGTGAGGGGAGGGAGATGAGGGGAGGGGTAGGTGAGGGGAGGGGACGCAAGTTAGGGGAGGTAGGTGGGGGGAGGGTTGTTATGGGAGGGGTAGGCGAGGGGAGGGAGGTGAGGGAAGGGAGGTGAGGGGAGGGGTAGGCGAGGGGAGGGAGGTGAGGGGAGGGAGGTGAGGGGAGGGAGGTGAGGGGAGGGGTAGGCGAGGGAAGGGAGGTGAGGGGAGGGAGGCGAGGGGAGGGACGTGAGGGGAGGGACGTGAGGGGAGGAAGGTGAGGGGAGGGAGGTGAGGGGAGGGGTAGGCGAGGGGAGGGAGGTGAGGGGAGGGGTAGGCGAGGGGAGGGAGGTGAGGGGAGGGAGGTGAGGGGAGGGAGGTGAGGGGAGGGAGGTGAGGGGAGGGGTAGGCGAGGGGAGGGAGGTGAGGGGAGGGAGGTGAGGGGAGGTGTAGGCGAGGGGAGGGACGACTATGTTCAGAAAGACGCGTCCTGCGTCCTGGACGCATGCGTCCAGACGCAGGACGCTGACCCTTGACCTGTAAGACACACCAAAAGACGCAAGCCCGGGCAGGGCAAAAAAAACCCCCGGGCAGGCCAGAAAAATTGTATAGGGCTTGGGAGAGGGGGGGCGGGGGGGTGTCATTCCACAAAATTTCCCCAACCACAAAATTTTCCCCAACCACAAAATTTTCAACACTCTTAGACGCGGTGGAAGAAGAAGGAATGGTCGAGGAAGCCATAGCGGAGTTTAGGTGGTAAGCTAAGCTAAGACCTAAAACCTCTATGGGTTTACGAAAGAGAATTGGTGAGGGGAAAATGAGAAGCCACAAAAGGTTGCCATGCTAAATGTGCTTGGTGGTGGTGGGCTACAAAGGTTGGGATTCGTAGATGCTAAGTGGTTGAGAGGTTTGAGTGAAATTCAATTTTGGTTTAGTTGTTAGGGAATGTTAGGGGGGCTGGTTTTGAATGGCGAATTGGGCTTGGGGTGGGAAAATTTCGCGATTTCGACATTCGCGTCGAAATCGCGAATGCCAAAATCGCAATCGATTTTTTTTCCGGGCTGCCCGAAAATTTTTTCGACGTGCGTCCTGCGTCTGGACGCGCGTCCTGCGTCCTAGCGTCCGGACGCAGGACGCAGCGTCCTAGCTGCGTCTTTCCGAACATAGAGGGACGAGAGGGGAGGGAGGTGAGGGGAGGGGAGGGAGGTGAGGGGAGGGAGGTGAGGGTGGGTTAATGATGGGTGACGCTGGAGATGCAAGTGTGTAGTGGTGGCAGCTGCTGTGGAGGAGGTGTATGGGGCAGGTGAGGGGTTGGGGGGATGATGGTGGATGGCGCATGGGTGGGGTAGGCGGTACGCAGTGGAAAGGCCAAATGTACCCAATGGGGAGGGGAAAAGGCGCCTGGGGAAGGTGAGATGAGAAAGATGTGGGGACAGTATGGATGGGAGGTGAGAGGAAGGGTTAGAGTTAAGTGCGTGGTGCTGGCTATCTGCGTAGGAGAGTTGCTGTGGGCAGGTGAGAGGAGGAGGAGAGGGGGGTGGGTGTGGGTAGGAGGAAAGGAGGTGGGAGGGCTCCACTTGTCCCTCGCAACCCTCCTCGCACCCCCAAGGAGGATCACCTTGCCGTGGGCTGCTGTCGGCCGGCTCTGGGAGACATGGCACATGCGGTGAGTGTTATGCCCACTAACCATGCCCATTCCCCTTCACTTATGTCCATCACCATCTTCCGTTACCACCACCACCGCACACCACCACCCACCACCACACACCACCGTCGTGCAGGTATCTGCCTTCACTTGCATCATTGACGCCCATCCGACCCTCAAGATGCACCCGTCCTCTTCCACGCCTTTTACCAGGTAAGCTGTGGGGGCGGTGTGTGCCTTTCAGGGAATCACCAGGTAAGCTGTGTGGGCGGTGTGCGCCTTTCAGAGGGGGAGAGGTGGAGTGGGTAGTAACTAAAGCAAGAGGGGGGGAGATGGTGGAGGAGAACCATGAGTCAAACCGAGACAACTACAGTCAGTTTGTGGGCTGACATGGCAGTCCCCTGAGTGGCTTATCCATTGCCGACGTCTTCAGCACTGCCCTCCTGGTGAGGGAGTGGAGCGTGTGGGTGGCAGAAAGCGAAAGGAAAAGATAAAATTAGGTAAACGTAACATCCGTTGTAGTCTAGTCGGTTAGGATACTCGGCTCTCACCCGAGAGACCCGGGTTCAAGTCCCGGCAACGGAATTGTTTTTATGGGTCTGGAAGATATGTGGTCACAGGAGACACGACCCAAAACATTGACAGCGCAGTGTTGTGTTGTGCACAGTTGACCTCTTGCCACCTAACGTCCAAACAAGGTGGTTTTGCAGCTGCGAGGGAGCGATGAGGGAAAGAGTGCCTTTTTGTGCCAGTCCCCCCCAGCTCTCACCGCCCTTGCACCAAATAATAATTCTAGTCGACACATGTATGGGAATAGAAAAACGACACAAGCAACCTCTTCTTCCACCTTTCCATGCTGCCTCATCCTGCTTCTCTTGCCCCTTACCCTTCCTGTCACCTGTCCCTTTCTCCACCCCCTTGAGAACCTTTGAGTGTACAAAAAGTCCAAACGAGCATCTTCTTCCCTGCTGCTGCACTTGCTCCTTTCCTTTCTCGTTACCTTCCTGTCCTGAGCCCCATTCTGCCCCACCTCCTCACACTTCAGGACCACTAGGCGTACAAGAGGGATCCAAGGAACCACTTGCTGCCCTCTGCTGCTTCTCTGTCCTCTTCCTGTCCCCTTACCTTGTTTGATGTCCCATTTCTCTCCGTTCCCTCCCACCAACCCCTTTCAAAACCACTTGGCGTACAAGAAGCACCCGAGCAACCTTCCCAGCGATGCCATGCTGCCTCCTGCTGCTTCTTTCAGTATCTTCGTTTCCCCTTGCCTTTCAGTCACCTGCCCTTTGCTGTCCCTTCCGCCCTTTCTTCCCCCACCCCCTTCAGAACCACAAGAAGGATCTCAGGAACATCTTTCCCAGCTATGCCATGCTGCCCCCTGCTGCCGTCTTTGCTCCTCTTTCTCTCCCCTTATCCTTTCTGTCCCGTTTCGGTCCATCTACACCCACCACCGCCTTCAGAACCACGGGGCTCACAAGAACCATGGCACACAGCCCGCACCCACTCGCACAGGCACACTGCTTGCGTGGCCACTGTTTCGTACCCTTACCTTACACCCTCCTTTAACCTTACCCTCCCCCGTTTACTATCCCCTCTCCTTACCCTTAAACCCCCCTCTTTCACTTACCCCTTCCCCTTCACCCCTATGCTACCCCCTTTCCCTTCCCTTTACCCCTCTCGTTATCCACTTCCCCTTTCCCCACCCCCTCCTCCTTTCTTCGACTCCCTTCCCTTTCCCCTTTGCTTTCAACCTCCCTCTCCCCTTACCCCATTCCCCTTCGCTCCCCTTCCCTGTATCCTACCCTTCTTCTTACCCACTCCTGTCCCCTGAACCATCTACTCCCTTTACCTTATCCTCCCTTTGCCCTCTTCCCTTTTATCCAATTTTCTGTATCCCACCCCTCCCCCTCCCTTTACACTCTCCCATTAAGCTTATCCTTTACTCCTATCACTCCCCCTCATCTTAAACCATTCCTTCCCTTATTCCTCCTTCCTTTTCCCTCTTCCTCTCCCTTTTCCTCCTCCCTCTCCTCTTTTCCCTTTCCTCTCCATTTACCGTCGTCATCTCACTTTACCCTTTTCCCTCTTCCTTTACCCCCTTCCCTCCTTTTCCCCTTTCCCTCCCTTATTCCCCTTCCCTCCCTGCAACCCCTCCCCTTCATTTACACTCCTCCCTTCATTTAACCCTTCCCCTCCCTTCACCCCCTCCTATCCCTGTATTCCTTCCCGTCCTTAACCCTCTCTCACCCCCCTCCTAATCCACCCATCTGTGCACCTACGTGGCGTTGCTCACAGCAGGGCAACCATCACAACTGCTCTCATTCTCTGCTGCCCCCCCCTTCCATCTCCAACTCCCCCCTCGTTTCTCCTAGCGAACTTCTGCCCCGCTGTCTTTATTCCCTGCACTTCTCTCACCTCTCGCCCTCACAACAATGTTTCACACCTTTCTCACTTCCTACCTCCTCCCCCCCCTTTCCCCCCCCACCTACCCTCCCCCGTCCCCTACCCCCTCACCCTTTCCACACCTTCCAGCTCCTCACCTGCCCGGAGTCCTACAGGGCTGCCACGTCGGACTGCCCTTCCAAGACAGACTGCCTCCAAGACGGACTGCCTCCAAGCCGGACTGCCTCCAAGACGGACTGCCTCCAAGACAGACCGCTTTTCAAAGACGGACTGCTTTTCCAAGACAGACTGCCTTACCAAGGCGGACTGCCTAACCAAGACGGACTGCCTTACCAAGACGGACTGCCTTACCAAGACGGACCACCTTACCAAGACTGACTGCCTTTCCAAGACGGACTGCCTTTCCAAGACGAACTGCCTTTCCAAGACGGACTGCCTTTCCAAGACGGACTGCCTTACCAAGACGGACGGCCTTACCAAGACGGACGGCCTTACCAAGACGGACTGCCTTACCAAGAGGGACTGCCTTACCAAGACGGACTGCCTTACCAAGACGAACTGTCTTACCAAGACAGACTGCCTTACAAAGACGGACCGCCTCTCCAAGACGGACTGCCTTACCAAGACGGACTTCCTTTTCAAGACGGACTGCCTTACGAAGACGGACTGCCTAACCAAGAGGGACTGCCTTACCAAGAGGGACTGCCTTATCAAGACGGAATGCCTTACCAAGACGGACTGCCTTACCAAGACGGACTGCCTTACCAAGTTACAATGCCTTACCAAAACCGACTGCCTTACCAAGACGGACTGCCTTACCAAGACGGACTTCCTTACCAAGACGGACTGCCTTACCAAGACCGACTGCCTTTCCAAGACGGACTGCCTTACCAAGACGGACTGCCTTACCAAGACAGACTGCCTTACCAAGACGGACTGCCTTACCAAGACGGCCTGCCTTACCAAGACGGACTGCCTTATCAAGACGGACTGCCTTACCAAGACCGACTGCCTTACCAAGACGGACTGCCTTACCAAGACAGACTGCATTACCAAGAGGGACTGCCTTACCAAGACGGACTGCCTTACCAAGACGGACAGCCTCCAAGACGGACTGGCTTACCAAGACAGACTCCCGTACCAAGACGGACTGCCTTTCCAAGACGGAGTACCTTTCCAAGACGGATTGCCTTACCAAGACGGACTGCCTCGAAGACGGACTGCATTACCAAGACGGACTGCCTTACCAAGACGGACTGCGTTTGCAGGACGGACTGCCTCACCAAGACAGACCGCCTCCAAGACGGACTGCCTCCGAGACGGACTGCTTTTCCAAGACGGACTGGTTTTGCTAGACGGACTGCTTTTCCAAGACGGACTGCCTTTTCAAGACGTACTGCCTTTCCAAGACGAACTGCCTTTCCAAGACGGACTGCCTTAACAAGACGGACTGCCTTACCAAGACGAAGTTCCTTTCCAAGACGGACTGCCTTAACAAGACAGACTGCCTTACCAAGACGGACTGCCTTACCAAGACGGCCTACCTTACAAAGACGGACTGCCTTAACAAGACAGACTGCCTTACCAAGACCGACTGCCTTACCAAGACGGACTGCCTTACCAAGACGGACTGCCTTACCAAGAGGGACTGCCTTACCAAGACGGAGTGCCTTACCAAGACGGACTGCCTCCAAGACGGATTGGCTTACCAAGACGGACTGCCTTACCAAGACGGACTTCCTCTCCAAGACGGACTGCCTTTCCAAGACGGAGTGCCTTACCAAGACGGACTGCCTCCAAGACTGATTGGCTTACCAAGACGGACTGCCTTACCAAGACGGACTGCCTTACCAAGACGGACTGCCTTTGCAGGACGGACTGCCTCACCAAGACAGACCCCCTCCAGGACGAACTGCCTCCGACACTGACTGCTTTTCCAAGACGGACTGATTTTCCTAGACGGACTGCTTTTCCAAGACGGACTGCCTTTTCAAGACGGACTGCCTTTCCAAGACGAACTGCCTTTCCAAGACGGACTGCCTTTCCAAGACGGACTGCCTTACCAAGACGGACTGCCTCGCCAAGAAGGACTGTTTTACCAATACGTACTGCCTTACCAAGACGGACTTCCTTACTAAGACGGACTGCCTTACCAAGACGGACTGCCTTACCAAGAGGGACTGACTTACCTAGACGGACTGCCTTACCAAGACGGACATCCTTACCAGGACGGACTGCCTTACCAAGACGGTCTGTCTTACCAAGACGACTGCCTTACCAAGACGGACTGCCTTTCCAAGACGGACTGCCTTACCAAGACGGACTGCCTTACCAAGACGGACTGCCTTACCAAGACGGACTGCCTTACGAAGATGGACTGCCTTACCAAGACGGACTGCCTTACCAAGAGGGACTGCCTTATGAAGACGGACTGCCTTACCAAGACGGCCTGCCTTACCAAGACAGACTGCCTTTCCAAGACGAACTGCCTTACCAAGACGGACTGCCTTACAAAGACGGACTGCCTTACCAAGACGGACTGCCTTACCAAGACGGACTGCCTTTCCAAGACGGAGTGCCTTACCAAGACGGACTTCCTTACCAAGACGGACTGCCTTACCAAGACGGACTGCCCGGACTGCCCTACCAAGACGGACTGTCTTACCAAGACAGAATACTTTACCAAGATGGACTTCCTTTCCAAGACGGAATGCTTTTCCAAGACGGACTGCCTTACCAAGACGGACTGCCTTACCAAGACGGACTTCCTTACCAAGATGCACTGCCTTACCAAGACGGACTGCCTTACCAAGACGGACTTCCTTATCAAGACGGACTGCCTTACCAAGACCAACTACCTTACCAAGACGCACTGCCTTACCAAGACGGACTGCCTTACCAAGACGGACTTCCTTACCAAGACGGACTGCCTTACCAAGACCGACTGCCTTTCCAAGACGGACTGCCTGACCAAGACGGACTGCCTTACCAAGACAGACCGCCTTACCAAGACGGACTGGCTTACCAAGACGGCCTGCCTTACCAAGACGGACTGCCTTATCAAGACGGACTGCCTTACCAAGACCGACTGCCTTACCAAGACGGACTGCCTTTCAAAGACGGACTGCCTTACCAAGAGGGACTGCCTTACCAACACGGACTGCCTTACCAAGACGGAGTGCCTCCAAGACGGACTGTCTTACCAAGATGGACTGCCTTACCAAGACGGACTTCCTTTCCAAGACGGACTGCCTTACCAAGACGGACTGCCTTGAAGATGGACTGCCTTACCAAGACGGACTGCCTTACCAAGACGGACTGCCTTTGCAGGATGGACTGCCTTACCAATACAGACTGCCTCCAAGACGCACTGCCTCCGAGACGGACTGCTTTTCCAAGACAGACTGGTTTTCCTAGACGGACTGCTTTTCCAAGACGGACTGCCTTTTCAAGACGGACTGCCTTTCCAAGACGAACTAACTTTCCAAGATGGACCGCCTTACCAAGACGGGCTGCCTTACCAAGACGGACTGCCTTACCAAGACGGACTGCTTTACCAAGACGGACTGCCTTACCAAGACGGACTTCCTTTCCAAGACGACTGCCTTACCAAGACGGACTGCCTTACCAAGACGGACTGCCTCACCAAGACGGACTGCCTTACGAAGCCGGATTGCCTTACCAAGACGGACTGCCTTACCAAGAGGACTGCCTTACCAAGACGGACTGCCTCACCAAGACGGACTGCCTTACGAAGCCGGATTGCCTTACCAAGACGGACTGCCTTACCAAGAGGACTGCCTTATCAAGATGGACCGCTTTACCAAGACGGACTGGCTTAGCAAGACGGACTGCCTTACCAAGAGGGAGTGCCTTATCAAGACGGAGTGCCTTACCAAGACAGACTGCCTTACCAAGACGGACTGCCTTACCAAGACGGACTGCCTTACCAAGACGGAGTGCCTTACCAAGAAGGACTTCCTTACCAAGGCGGTGCCTTTCCAAGACGGACTGCCTTACCAAGACGGACTGCCTTACCAAGACGGCCTGCCTTACTGAGAGGGACTGCCTTATCAAGACGGACTGCCTTACCAAGACGGACTGCTTTACCAAGACGGACTGCCTTACCAAGACGGACCGCCTTACCAAGACGGATTGCCTTACCAAGACGGACTGCCTTTCCAAGATGGACTGCCTTACCAAGAGGGACTACCTTACCAAGACGGACTGCCTTACCAAGACGGACTGCCTTACCAAGACGGACAGTCTTACCAAGACGGACTGCCTTACCAAGACGGACTGCCTTTACAAGACAGACTGCCTTACTAAGACGGACTGCCTTACCAAGACGGACTGCCTTACCAAGACGGACTGCCTCACGAAGATGGACTGCCTTACCAAGACTGACTGCCTTACCAAGAGGGACTGCCTTATGAAGACGGACTGCCTTACTAAGACGGACTGCCTTACCAAGACGAAATGCCTTACCAAGACGAACTGCCTCCAAGACAGACCGCCTCCAAGACGGACTGCTTTTCCAAGACGGACTGGTTTTCCTAGACGGACTGCTTTTCCAAGGCGGACTGCCTTTTCAAGAAAGACTGCCTTTCCAAGACGAACTGCCTTTCCAAGACGGACTGCCTTACCAAGACGGACTGCCTTACGAAGAAGGACTGCCTTACCAAGACGGACTGCCTTACCAAGAGGGACTGCCTTACCTAGACGGACTACCGTATCAAGACAGAATACCTTACCAAGACGTACATCCTTACCAAGACGGATTGCTTTACCAAGACGGACTGCTTTACCAAGACGGACTGTCTTACCAAGACCGACTGCCTTACCAAGACCGACTGCCTTTCCAAGACGGACTGCCTTACCAAGACGGACTGCCTTACCAAGACGGACTGCCTTACCAAGACGGACTGCCTTACGAAGCCAGACTGCCTTACCAAGACGGACTGCCTTACCAAGAGGGACTGCCTTATCAAGACCGACTACCTTACCAAGACGGACTACCTTTTCAAGACGGACTGCCTTACCAAGAGGGACTGCCTTACCAAGACGGACTGCCTTTCCAAGATGAACTGCCTTACCAAGACGGACTGCCTTACAAAGACGGACTGCCTTACCAAGACGGAGTGCCTTTCCAAGATGGACTGCCTTTTCAAGATGGACTGCCTTACCAAGACGGACTATATTACCAAGACGGTCTGCCTTACCAAGACGGACTGCCTTACCAAGACGGACTGCCCGGACTGCCTTACCAAGACGGACTGCCCGGACTGCCCTACCAAGACGGACTGCCTTACCAAGACGGTATACCTTACCAAGACGGACTTCCTTACCATGACGGACTGCCTTACCAAGATGGACTACCTTACCAAGACGGACTGCCTTACCAAGACGGACTGCCTTACCAAGACGGACTGCCTTACCAAGACAGACTGCCTTACCAAGACGGACTTCCTTACCAGGACGGACTGCCTTATGAAGACGGACTGCCTTTCCAAGACGGACTGCCTTACCCAGACGGACTGCCTTACCAAGACAGATTGCCTTACCAAGATGGACTGCCTTACCAAGACCAACTGCCTTACCAAGACGGACTGCCTTACTAAGACGAATTTCCTTTCCAAGACGGACTGCCTTTCCAAGACGGATTGCCTTACCAAGACGGACTGCCTCCAAGACAGACTGCCTTACCAAGACGGACTACCTTACCAAGACGGACTGCCTAACCAAGACGGACTGCCTGGACTGCCTTACCAAGATGGACTCCCTTACCAAGATGGACCGCCTTACCAAGACAGACCGCCTCCAAGACGGACTGCCTCCGAGACGGACTGCTTTTCCAAGACATACTGGTTTTCCTAGACGGATAGCTGTTCCAAGACGGACTGCTTTTCCAAGACGGACTACTCTTCCAAGACGGACTGCCTTTCCAAGACGGACTGTCTTTCCAAGACGGACTGCCTTTCCAAGACAGACTGCCTTTCCAAGACGGACTGCCTTACAAAGATGGACTGCCTTTCCAAGACAGACTGCCTTACCAAGACGGACTGCCTTACCAAGACGGACTGCCTTACTAAGACAGACTGCCTTACGAAGACGGACTTCCTTACCAAGATGGACTGCCTTACCAAGACGGCCTGCCTTACCAAGAGGGACTGCCTTATGAAGACGGACTGCCTTACCAAGACGGACTGCCTTACCAAGACGGACAGCCTTTCCAAGACGGACTGCCTTTCCAAGACGGACTGCCTTACCAAGAGGGACTGTCTTACCAAGACGGACTGCCTTACCAAGACGGACTGCCTTACCAAAACGGAGCCTTACCAAGACGGACTGCCTTACCAAGACAGACTGCCTTACCAAGACGGAGTGCCTTTCCAAGATGGACTGCCTTTTCAAGATGGACTGCCTTACCAAGACGGACTATATTACCAAGACGGTCTGCCTTACCAAGACGGACTGCCTTACCAAGACGGACTGCCCGGACTGCCCTACCAAGACGGACTGCCTTACCAAGACGGTATACCTTACCAAGACGGACTTCCATACCATGACGGACTGCCTTACCAAGATGGACTACCTTACCAAGACGGACTGCCTTACCAAGACGGACTGCCTTACCAAGACGGACTGCCTTACCAAGACAGACTGCCTTACCAAGACGGACTTCCTTACCAGGACGGACTGCCTTACGAAGACGGACTGCCTTTCCAAGACGGATTGCCTTACCCAGACGGACTGCCTTACCAAGACAGATTGCCTTACCAAGATGGACTGCCTTACCAAGACCAACTGCCTTACCAAGATGGACTGCCTTACTAAGACGAATTGCCTTTCCAAGACGGACTGCCTTTCCAAGACGGACTGCCTTACCAAGACGGACTGCCTCCAAGACGGACTGCCTTACCAAGACGGACTGCCTTACCAAGACGGACTGCCTAACCAAGACGGACTGCCTGGACTGCCTTACCAAGATGGACTCCCTTACCAAGATGGACCGCCTTACCAAGACAGACCGCCTCCAAGACGGACTGCCTCCGAGACGGACTGCTTTTCCAAGACATACTGGTTTTCCTAGACGGATAGCTGTTCCAAGACGGACTGCTTTTCCAAGACGGACTACTCTTCCAAGACGGACTGCCTTTCCAAGACGGACTGTCTTTCCAAGACGGACTGCCTTTCCAAGACAGACTGCCTTTCCAAGACGGACTGCCTTACAAAGATGGACTGCCTTTCCAAGACGGACTGCCTTACCAAGACGGACTGCCTTACCAAGACGGACTGCCTTACTAAGACAGACTGCCTTACGAAGACGGACTTCCTTACCAAGATGGACTGCCTTACCAAGACGGCCTGCCTTACCAAGAGGGACTGCCTTATCAAGACGGACTGCCTTACCAAGACGGACTGCCTTACCAAGACGGACAGCCTTACCAAGACGGACTGTCTTACCAAGACGGACTGCCTTTCCAAGACGGACTGCCTTACCAAGAGGGACTGTCTTACCAAGACGGACTGCCTTACCAAGACGGACTGCCTTACCAAGACGGAGCCTTACCAAGACGGACTGCCTTACCAAGACAGACTGCCTTACCAAGACGGACTGCCTCCAAGACGGACAGCCTTACCAAGACTGACTGCCTTACCAAGACAGACTGCCTTTCCAAGACGGACTGCCTTTCCAAGACGGACTGCCTTACGAAGCTGGACTTTTTTACCAAGACGGACTGCTTACCAAGAGGGACTGCCTTATCAAGATGGACTGCCTTACTAAGACGGACTGGCTTACCAAGACGGACTGCCTTACCAAGAGGGACTGCCTTATCAAGATGGACTGCCGTACCAAGACGGACTGCCTTACCAAGACGGACTGCCTTTCCAAGACGAACTGCCTTACCGAGACGGACTGTCTTACCAAGACGGACTGCCTTTCCAAGACAGACTGCCTTACCAAGACGGACTACCTTACCAAGACGAACTTCCTTACCAAGACGGACTGCCTTACCAAGATGGACTGCCTTTCCAAGATAGACTGCCTTTCCAAGACGGACTGCCTTACCAAGACGGACTGTCTTTCCAAGACGAACTTCCTTACCAAGAGGGACTGCCTTACCAAGACGGATTGCCTTACCAAGAGGGACTGCCTCCAAGACGGACTGCCTTACGAAGATGGACTGCCTTACCAAGACGGACTGCCTTACCAAGACGGACTGCCCGGACTGCCTTACCAAGACAGACTTTTTTACCAAGACGAACCGCC